GCCCCCGCATTGCCTCTTAGTGCAGGGGACGGAAATCCTTCACCTGGAGCTGTCTGTGGGCCCTGGCAGGACTGGGACTTCCCAGAATTCTCCAGAACTCTCTGTTCTACTCTGCATCTGTCACAGTGGGGGGCCCGCTGCCCAGTAAACACAGGCAGTAAAATTCGGGAGCAGGCAGTGAAAGAAGCCAGCATCTCTAAATCAATTTACGTTGCATGCAAATCATGTTTTCAAATATTTACAGTCTCCGAGGGAATTACGTCGCTGTTTATAACCGTTCGGAGTGTTTTTGTGACTCAGGCCCAGTAGAGCCAAGCGCTGTAATTTCTGGGAGATGCTAAGTCTCTGCTCCGAGCCTCCCCTCCCGAGAGGGAACTGGGCTTCAGGGGAGAAGCGCCCCCCTAATTAACCGAGTGCAGCGGGGTTTCCAGGCGGCTGAGCGTCTTTCTTCAGGTCATAAGTCCTCGGGGCGGCCGCGGTGGCCAGAATAGGCGGATGGCCCAGCCCAAGTGTGGGGGTCGTGTCCAGGCGCAGGCTTGTGTCTGCTCCAGTGCATCTGGGGGTGCGTTAGAACATTCCAGAGGCGCTGCCTTGTGCCTGATGGGGGCTTAGTTCTTGTCCTCGGATCCCATCCCGTGTGGTGCATCCGCTCCGGTTTTGTAACGAGAACCGTGTCCGTTCCCATCGCAGGGCAGAAGACGAGACAGTGGCGTGCGGACCAGCTCCCGTCCGACCCCTGCGACTCTGGTCCCGTCACTGCGGCCTTGTCCAGCGTGCTTAATTAGCACGAGAGGCCAGCTCTGGCCTTGGGGTCACCTGTCTCTCTCCTCTTTCCCGCCATCTTGAACACAGGTGTGAGCCCACCTGGCCGCCTTGCGGGGAGCGGGGCACCGAGGAGGAGGCCTGGACTCAGGAACCTCGGATCCCAGCTCTGCTGCTCAGTCGCCGCGTGACCTTGGGCTTGACCCTTGGCTTCTCTGGATTAGATACATTAATCCTCGTACATTCTCAGACCGGCGCCGGTGTCCCGCAGGCCGTCAGCTTGCCGCTGGTATTATGTAGCAGCACGACTCACATTTTCAAGGCCAGGCTTTGGGACAAAGTAGCGAGGCTTTCAGAAGCCTGGGTGCCCGGGAGGCTCAGGCAGTGAGACGGCCAAGGGCACCCAGCCGCCTCCCGGCCACCGAGGGGGCCGAGCCTGCACGGGAAACCGTTCTTTAAATCTAAGCGATTCCGGAATGACAGACGTCTTCTGGGCAGGCGGTATGACGGACACAGGAGCGTCCGAGGGTGAGACGTAGGGGACCCGTCGCCCTCCCGTGGGACTGAGAGATGTTGGGGCCGAGTGCTCGGCCCCCCTCCCCCGCAGGAGCATCCCCGTGGTGCAGACGCTGCGCACCACCGCCCTGACCACGGCCTGCGCCGAGCGCTCGGACCAGCACGTGGGCTACCTGGAGCACGTGGTGGCCCGCATCTCCATCTCCCACCCCCGCCGCGGAGACCTCCAGATCTACCTGATCTCTCCCTCGGGGACCAAGACTCAACTTCTGGCAAAGAGGTAAGGCCAGGCGGGCCTGGTGGGGCCGGGGCGGGTCGCAGGCCAGGGGGCAGCAGTGGCCCGCGGCGACCGACACGGGCTTGGAGCCTGGACACCGGCGCTTACGCCCCGTCTGCCACAGTCCCCAGCTGGACACCCGGAGTGGGCCGCCTCTCTCCCTAGTCCTTACCTCTGGAAATGACATTTTGCTTTGTCACGATCAGGAGAGCCACGAGAACTGAATGTGACAATAGAGACGAACGTGCTTGGCACCGCCCCTGGGGCAGGTGGCTGGCCGCCCTTCCCGTCTTGTTCACATGCAGCTACCCGACCCGCGAGGACCCCCAGCGCCCCAGTAGCCACCGCCCCCCTGTCCTCCTCCCCTCCGACGTCCGTCCTTCCCCTCAGGCCCGGGGCGGGGGGAGAGCGGGTCCTGCAGGCACATTGGGTTTGTCGCCCCCAGGTGCCGGCGGCCTGTACCTGGCCATCAGTGCTGTCAATCCGCCCTCGGGCCACTGGGTCTTGGGAGTTTGTTTTTTTCTCCCCAAGGGACAGATTATGTGACTGTAGGATCTACTAATTTAACTTGATTTTGCTTAATTCTCACTTAACTCCGTGGCCTTTCCCGCTTGCCAAATGTTTCCACCAAGAGTAACTTGTCGTTCGTAAGCGCCAGCCCTCGAAAGCTTTGTCCTTGTTCAGTGCGTTGGATTCAGTTTGGCATCGTGTGTGGAAATCAGCCTTGACCTTTGCAGTTTCTTAGAAGGAAGTTCAGGGTGTCCACCTGCCCCCACAGCGCTTGTCCAGAGAACCCCCAAGTGGGGAATCGAATCTTACATCGTATAAAACGTATCCGAATTTCTGATGAACAGTAAAGAGTCCCTACGTTAAAAACGTATTGTTTCAAAACAGAGAGAAAATTAGACTGTGACGGAAAGGTAAGAGGGAAGGACCTAGAACCATTTCTTCTAAGGAGGGAAGACAGCGGTGCCCCCGAGTCGCTTTCCGTTTCCGCTCAGACCACACAAGACAAACGGGGTCAAGCCGGAGTCCCCGTCACCAGGGACTTTCTGGTCTGGAAGGACAGAGGGGGCTGGTCAGGCGGCTGGTGGGGGAGGGAGCACGTGCGCTTCCCCAGAAACACTCAGACCTCCCGTGTCACCTCTCAGCGGTCGGGACGGTGAAGCCCTGGAGACAAGGGACAAGGGACGGCACGCGGAGGCTGGCTCTGAGACTAACGGGGAGTTCCGTTCCTTAGAGAGGCTTCCTTTGCCCTGTCCTTGGGTCTCCAGTGGAAGTCACTGGGCCGAGCCTCTGTGCTCAGGCTCTGGGGCCATGGTTGCGGGGGAGGCCACGGCTCTGGGGGAACACACCTGGGCTGGGTGGGGACCGGACACCTGAAGGAACACGGGGTCTGGGTCGAGGGCTGTCACCAGTGACCTGCTGCGACAGAAAGCATCCGCAGCAGCCCCCTCCTCGGGGTCCCTTCCCCAGAAAGAAGGGTGGGCGGGGACCACCGCGACCTGCCCCGGCCCCTCCCGCCCTGGGCTCCTGTGCCAGGCCTTCCTCCCATGTTTGGGAGGCCTAGGGGCATAACGGAGGGGCCTGCCGGGTCCCGAACCGGGGTGCGAACAGCCACCCTCTCGCCGGCATCCTCGCGTGGGGCTGGGCCGCACTGCCCCGTGCTCACGCCCGTGCCCAGAGGTGCCTCAGCTGGGCTGGGTGTTCTCCCGGGGACAGAGCCACCCTCGGGCCACCCGCCACCCCCTGACCCGTCTCCATCGCAGGCTGCTGGACCATTCCAACGAAGGCTTTTCCAACTGGGAGTTCATGTCCGTGCACTCGTGGGGAGAGAAGGCCGAGGGCGTGTGGACGCTGGAGATCCAGGACGTGCCAGCCCAGGTCCGCGACCCGGACAAGCAAGGTCAGTGGCCCTGGGAGCGTCTGCCAGCCCTGGTCACTCCAGGACTTCCAGGTAGCTGCAGTGTCTCTGGTCACTCTCTTTCTCCCCATTTTTATGAAGGGAAAATTCCCTTTCTTCGTTGTCGCGTGTGGTGAAATGGCTTTAGCACGTCCACAGTGTCGTACACCGTCACCGCTGCGTCTGATCCCGGACCCTTGTCATCCCCGCAGAGGGATGCCCCAGAGCCACCAGGCAGCCATGCCCGCGGCCCTGGCAACCCCTAATCGACCTTCTGTCCGTGGACGTTTTGTAAGAACAGAATCGTGCACCGTGCGGCCTTTCACTTCGCGTCCTATTTTCGGGGTTCGCCCTCGGCGTAGCAGGCTCCCACACTTCGTTCCTTTTTATGACTGAACTCTGCTGCACGCAGCGCATCTCGTTCGTCTGTTTCACATCAGCCGATGACGACCGGGTGGTTCCTGGTTAGTGGCTGTCACGGCTGATGCTGCTGTGCAGTCCACGTACGGGCTGTGAGGTGGCCATGTGTTTTCACGTTGGTGTGTCCCTGGAGTGTGACCGCTGGGTCGTGGGGCGCGTCCGTGTTTAACTTTTTGAGGACCCGTCATAGTGTTCGCCACAGTGGCTGCAGCATTTGACATTCCTGCCGGCGACAAAGGAGGGTTTTCATTTGTTTCTGCTCGTCCTCGCCACCCGGGCTCTCTGTTACTGCGGCTGCCCCGGTGCGTGCGAAGCGCTGTCCCTGTGCTTTGGGCCACATTTCCCGGCGGCGCCACGCGTCTCGTCATGTGCTCATCGGCCATAGATCTTCTCCAGGGTCATGTGTCCTCAAATCTTAGTCTTTCGTTCCTGAGCTTATTATAAAGGGTCCTTGAAATATTTTGGGTGCCAGATCCTTATCAGAAGAACGGTGTGCAACATTTTTCTATGCATTGCAGTACCGGGGTGCTGCCCGAGGGTGACCCCCGAATGCAGTCCCGAAAGGCCAGTGTCTGTCCTTGGACATGGCCGAATCCGGGTCTCTGGCTGCTCGAGAGGAGAATGTGATAACCGTCTCCCGGGCCCTCCGAGCTCTGACCGTCTGTGCCATGCCGGGGTCCGCGGGACCAATGTCGTCGCGGGGTGCGCGCGGGCCTCGCGTCTGTCAGCGTCTCTCCAGCTGCCCGCCTTCGGAGCAGGGCGGTCCCCAGCACCTACACGTTCGGGTCAGGCTGCTGCTGCCTGTCGGGGACTCGGCCTGGGAAGGTGACACTGGGTGACCGAGGTTTCCCGCTGACTGCGGCATTCTGGAACCCAGGAAGAAGGGGGGGGCCTCGAGCCGATCCCAGCGAGCGTGGCTACCCCCTGTCCACCCCCGTGGTCTGGTCAGGGTGGCCTCTCTGCCAGGTCACTGCTGACCTCGGTGCCAGGAATAATGCGGGGACTTAGCACCCACAAAGAGCACCGTTCTCGTTTCAGGTGACTCTCGGAACCTGTTTTGGGGCGAGGTGCTGTGTTTCTGTGTTCATTCCATCTCCTCAAATCTCTGCAACTTAATTGCTTAAAAAAAAAAAGCCAGCTCAGTTCCATGGTGTGCGGGGCACAATCCTTCAAAATCTCAGCTAAGACTCGGGGTTCATTAAGTAAGTGAGGCGCCCGAATGACGTGCCAGCTCGAACAGCAGCCCCTCCCGTCACAGTGAACTGGGTTTGGTGTCATTCATTGTAAAACTTGTTTTCAAAAACCGAACGGCGCGTTAGTCATCCATTTTCCTCTTGGTTCCGAGGCCAGGGGAAGGTGTGTCTCCTCCCAGCGACGCTCTGCTGGGAACGGGACTGAGCGCAGACTCGGTCTGTGGGTGGCGGTCGCGCCTGCAGGGCGGGGGACGGGGCTGTCGGCACATGCGCTGCGTAGGGGCTGCGCTCCACACCTGTGCCCGGCCCAGCCCCGC